AACAATATGTCTATTTACTATGAAGCGAAACTAACGACGTACATCTAAAAAGTTCTGCTTTGATTCATTTTTATCCCTTAGTATTGAGCAAAGGATCAACAGTTTTTAAGAAGAGATCAGTATATTGTGTTTCAACAACGAAGTGATTGAACGAATATTTATGGAAGATTTTACAATGACAACCCGTGTGGACATAGGATAACATGGCTTGCTACACTCTCTGTTTTCACAATCATCATCATCTTGGCACTGCAGAAAGTTCCAGATTTTCTTGGATACAAAGCCATCCTACATCAGCTGAAATTTCTTCCCTCCTGTTGGACTCTGATGATTCTTTTGTTTGTATCCTTGACCAGATACATCAAACCCGCTATATCTGCCAAATCCATCAATTCCTGGATGATATTGATGGGTTTGGCTTTTAACTACATTCTTAGAACTTTATTTGTTGGCTTTTTGAATTATACGCAGTTGAATTTTTTGAAGTGTCAATATCCCAGTTATATCTTTGTGTTGTCAAAGCTTTCCGTGCTGGTGTTATTTGCCATCTCTCTAATGAACTTGCTTGCCACCATTTTAGAACTTACTGTTCAAGTTCATAAGGTGCATCGATCTATGGGAGAACAACACTCGGAATATTTTGAAATGATAAATGATCTTCTGCGTGACTTTGGTACAACCACTTTTAGATTCAAAATGACGAGTTTCTTTTGGCAGAAACTTTTCATTGATGATAAGAATATTCTCTCTAACCAAGCACCTTTGCAGTGATAACATGGATGATAGAGCAGTAAAACAGAGAGTGTATAGATTGGTGGGAGTGACGGCCTCTCATCCCATTTGGCGCAATTTTCGATTGAGTATCGAAAGTAATCGGAAATTTGCTTCACCACGCTCTGTGATTGGTCCAGAAAATTTAAACTCTCGCTCCCTTCGGAACTAATCAGATGCAACGCTAAACCCAATTGCGACTCGTACCCTCGCGTGTTTCCACGACCTTTGCAGTTTTGCTTGGTTTTACTTTGAATTCGTATCTGTTCTTTGAGATAATTTCCTCTCCTCTGATTGGCCGATGTATTAACTTTGGCTTTGGTTTCAAGACACGCAATCGAAATGCACTATTAGGAATTCTATTACTTTCTATCTATGCGAACGACCGAGAAAATGGCTCGAACGAATTGTAAATAGCCCGTTCCCCATCTCTCTGGTTAAAAAAGCACATGACATAATATTCGTGTTTTCGTGTCTCAAGCGAAATTGTTAGTTACTTCTTAGATGTTTCCCTTAACATGTAAACGGGTTTAAATCCTAATATACCAATTTCATTTCATTTTTATTACTGAGACTCATTATATTTTTATTTGCTTGCTCTTTTTGTTACGTACACGTTCAAACGCAAATAATTTAGTGTTTAAACCAATAAAAGGTGAGTTTGATTCAAAGGTTTTGCGCATCCTCAATGCACATATTTATAGTGCAAAATCGTTGCAGTGAACGGCTTTCAACTTGAAAAGCGCCTAACTCCAAGTGGCACCATGAGTGTTCGTGTCAATCAGGAGAATCTCGGGCGTGAGTCATCGATTCCCACGCACGAAAATTGGAATTTTTTTTAATCTAATCTAAAATTTCTTTGCTAATGGGGAGTCTACATTTCCATCAGTCTGTTCTAAACAGCGAAAGATTAGTCTTTAAACGCAGCTAAATAATTTCCGCCTGAGTGCAACACCAAATCAACACGCCGCTAGTTGTATGTTAGTGAATATTTTATAAAAGTGGTGTCTACGATAGTGCGTGACAGTCTGTCACTTCATTAAGCAAGAAACAATAAAGTTCCGTAAAGAAACTTGTGAAAAACAAAAGTATATGCGAGTTGAAAAGAGTTTCGTAAAATAAATACCTGCTTTAGAATGTCTGTTTTTAAGGAGTGCGTGACTCGATATCGAGACCACGTGAGAACTCGTAGAAATGGAGATGCTTCGTGACAAAAGTCACGCATTGAGACCCTAATGCTGCTTTTTCTGTTTTTAACCCCATTTGTCGAGACCATATATATTAAATGTAATTCAGGCTAAGTTGAGTCGATGGCTACTGCTACCTGTTGTAGTCATCTTTTTATATGATAGCGTTAAGAAAGAAATTTAGTAGCAAACATTTCTTCACATCTTTAGTGGCTATGGAGAGGATTTCAACTGAAGTTCCAATTTGTGGACGTTGAAACAGCTGACAAAGAAATTACTCAGGATGTTAATGAAGACTACTTACGAGGTTCGCTTTAAGCTTCAGTTACTTTACTACAAGAACATTCACTGTGTATTCCGGCTGTATGTAGATCGTAGCAGAGGCACAGCTGCATGTATGACCACCCCGTGGGGTGTGCTTCCTAGTTATAGGTCACGATCACGACCGAACTGACTATTGACTATAGCATTTTTAACAGAGTTTATTACAATAATGGGGTCGCACATTTTCGAAATTTTGGGGGTAAGACAAGTCTAAGAAAGTAGGGATTAAATGACGGAAAGTTCGCAGTTAGAAGGTCGTTACCAGCGCGTATTACCAAAAGTGACTAAGATGGGGTCGATAATTAGCCACAGAATAGACTCTGATGGGGTAGGGTTTCTGAAAGGCCAACGGCAGATGCCCCACAAAAATTGACTCAAGCAACCTCTCAATTTATCTTATATTTTTTCTTCTACAGGTGGTTTTGGCGTTATCATCATGAGAGCCTGCCCCGAAATAGATCAGCCACAGATATGGAAATCAGCCAAAATAACACTAATCTGGCCAAGACAACGAAATTCCTGTTATCCAGTGGTCTAGCTAGCTAGCTAGCTCACGGCTGTTTCGCGGTGGAAATTTAGTTAATACAAAATTATGCATTTGCATAAATCTTGCGTCCATGGCAACCCCTTAGGCTAAGATATAGTTTAGCCAATGAAATCTTGCTGCATATCTAATGTATGCGAGTGAAATTTAGCATGGCGGCTGGTTACACATGGAAGAAGCACTTGCCGTCGAAAATTTGAGTAAAATCGGTCAAATTTTGCCTGTGTTCGACGAAAACACATTGCTATGGTGGAGTCTAACAAGTACACCTTATTAAATCAACTGAAAACTTTGATTTCAATTTGGAAAAGGCTCGAATTTTTTCCAGCAAAGCAAGAGTCAAAAGAGAAGACTTAAAACCTTACTGCACAACTGACAGAGGTAAGTGTTTTAATCCGAATTGTTTGAGACTCCATTCGAGGCGCTTTTAATATGTTAAGATCGGCCGTTATGCGACTCCATTTTGAATCTCGGAAGTACTGAATTTCAAGCGAAACAGTCTGTAAACGACTGCAAAGCTTTAGTTTTGGTTCCAAAGATTGTGGTAACACTTTAATTCGTCTAACTTAGAAGTTGAGCAAATAAATTACACCATATTTACACACATAGTACTCGTTCTTAGTCAACGAACCGATACATTGCTATTGAAAAGGAAAGAGTTTTACTCGTTCGCTTTTCGTTTTAAATTTCTTTCTCTAGGTTTGGGAGCTTTCCCTGCTAGTTCCGGACTCGTGGGTATCTGGTGATTTCGCCAACGAGTGATTTCGCCAACGAGTGATTTCGCCAACGTCACGTTCGTCAACGTCTTTGGTCGCTTGGCCAACGCGATGAGTCGCTTGGCCAACGTCCTACTGGTCACTTCGCCAACGTATTAGTTTACTCTAAATAAAAATTAACCATTACTTCTTCTTGCTTCTGTGTGTTGTTTACTTGACTGAGCTGACTTGATTTCCCCCTTCGAACTTAGTTTCCTTCAGTTATTTTGTTCGGACTTAGTTTCCTTCTCTTGGGCGCGCAACTTAAAACACAGTGGGCCCACATAAATGCACGGCACGCCACGCGTCACCGGCGCTGTATGTTGCTGAATTTAACTTAGAGCAATAAAGTCGCGTGTGTGCAACCTTTTCCGTAAGTTCTTCTATAAGGTTTATTTGTCGATAACAGAGATTTATATAATTACCTTTGAGACTTCTAGAACAGAGATTTATATAAATACATTGTAGACTACTACTACTTCTAATTCTATAACTCCAGCGCATATTATAACTTCGATCAAGAGTATATAAGTATTACAAGAAACACACGCTTGTATATTACCATATGAATAGACGCGTAAACTCATTGTGTTAAAACTTGTTAATTTTACCCTATTGTTCTAAATAAACCAATCCAATTGCTTGAAACTAACTGGTATGATATTTCGATCCTTCGAAGTGTATAAAACACACTGGCATGCGAAGAATGTTCATTTCAATCATACGATTACGACACACTCTACTACTCATAACGAATTATCTCGGAAACCTTTATCTCGGAATACTATTAATATCAGGATGGCTACTGCGCAGATTTTAAACTGTATTGTTTGTCACGAACTGGTACAGCCTCGGCAGTAAGCGGTTCAGTGCGATGGATGTTTTCGCTGGAACCATCGAATCTGTAACACCGGTAAGTTATATTTACTTATATATACTCTGATACTCTAAAAAGTAGAGACCTGGGCCAGGATTATAAGTTGATGGAGGATCTAATTTCTCTTTTATACAACTGTTGTTGCTTATCTTACACCTAAAAGAAGACATCTCCTAAAAGTAAAAAAAAAACTCATTACACTGACCAAAACTGAACCATGACCAATGTTATTTAGTTTCTTATATCATCTGACAGTGAACTTACTTAAAATGAACTTACTTAAAATCCATTATCGTCTAAAATGCGGGTCGCGGGTTTTTAATATACTTTATTTACACCTTTTTTACCATTTTTTACTTTAAGGTACAAGAGCTTGGCCTCCAAAGGGCGTACATGGACGACGATTCCGTTTACAAGTACATCAGGAAGCTAATGGCCCTCCCGTTCCTCCCGTATCCGGAAATCCAACCGATGCTCGACCTACTCGAGGAGCAGGCACAAACCGACCAGCTGGGGAGACTTGTCCAGTACATCCGACGACAGCGGATTGAGAGTGAAGTATTCACCCCAAGAAACTGGTGCGTGTACAAGGAGCCCGTCCGCACAAATAACGACCTGGAAGGCTGGCATAACGCCCTCAATCGCAGAGCTGGAGGACAATGCGGTTTGCCCTTATACCTTTTAATTGAGTTACTTGATCGGGAGGCAAAACTCACAGCTATTACAATTAGGCTGGTCTCTGACAACAAACTGAAACGAATTCAACGACGTACAACAAGAAACATTCAGGCAAAACTATTCGAAAGTTGGGAGAAGTATGAGAACAACGAGAAAACCGCTGCTCAACTACTCAGGACGTGTTCGCGTTTGAATGGACCAGCGCGCTCTAACTGATCATGAACGAACTGAACTAGCGTGAAGTAAGCTGAGAATCAGAAGGTTTTGTTAATAGGTTTTGACTAAAGCATTTTTTTTAATCAGAAGGTTTTGTAAATAAGTTTTGCATTGAAAATATTTTGTGAATCAGAAGGTTTTGTAAATAGGTTTTCCACTAAAATATTTTGCACTTGTAAATATTTATAAAAGTACGTATTGTTATTAAAATGTTGTTGATATTATACATGTTATATTTTATTTCTGACTCGTTTTGAAGGCTGGAAAACAAACTCTGATTGTTTCTGAAAAATGTTAACTCGTTAATTCACATCGTAACGCATTCTTCAAGTAAAATTTTGAGTTATACATTTTTGGAACACATTTAGAAGCCATCGGAGTTTGTTATTCAACAGTTTTAAATTACCGCGATGTTAGTG